CTTGGCATTTCTTTCTGGGCGGATTCTCTGCTTCCTGCACACTGCACTCTGACATGCAGGAGAAGTTCCCGCAGTTCCGAAGCCTCGAGGTGGCTGCTCAGAGAGGAATTCACTGTGTCCTTACAAGAGCAAAGCAGCAGCGACATTCGCAGAGGCTGTCTCTTTTAGAGATAAATGTGTGCCTGGTCCTCGTTAAAACGTGTACAATTTATTAGTACGCTAGTTGCTTTAAATCCTTATCAGAACGAGAGGAATACATGGAGTAAGAGAAATCAAAACAGACACTTGCAGAAGGAAGCACAACTCCACAGCTGTGCAGGCGCGCTGCTCCCAGGCCCATGTGCTCTCTCCTATCATTTTATTATTAGATTTACAGCACAAACACTTTCAATTGAAATCTTTGAGAGAAAAGGAAACTGTTTAGCTGCATAATACAAAACCAGAGCATAAAAACGTTAAGAACCTATTACCAAAATGCTCAAAACAGGAAGGTATTAACTGGCTTATGGTTCATTAACGAAGTAAACTTAACTTTGTAGTGTTGGCTAATGACACCAAAATAACATTGAACCCGGCCAAGCATCCTTCATTGTTCTCTCCCCTCTCCACAGTGAGCCTCTCCTAGTCACCCTGGCCACCCCATGCTCCTCACTTTCTCTCATCTTGCCCATATCTTCGGAGCATCTTTGGGTCCCCCTCTATTGTATCTTAGACTCCAGTCTCTAGTTTACCCTCTGTGGTAGGTTTTGTGCTCAGAATCAACTACAGCAGAGCCACCCACCCAGTCAGCTCTGCAGGAAGTACCGTTCAGGACAGCAGTGTCTTTTAAAAAGAATCCACTCCAGCCAGGTGGTGGCTCACGCTTTTAATCCCAGCACTTGGGAGGCAGAGGCAGGCGGATCTTTCTGAGTTCGAGGCCAGCCTGGTCTACAAGAGCTAGTTCCAGGATAGGCTCCAAAGTTACAGAGAAACCCTGCCTCAAAAATACATAAATAAATAAATAAAGTAAAAAAAAATCCACTTATCCACTCAACATTTGGAGCAGGCAGAAAGCTTGGGCACTCATAATCTAATGCCTGGTATACATTCTGGCACAACCTCTCCTCCGGCAGCACTGGAGAAAGAGCCCAGTCCCTGTGTACACAAGGCACTCCCTCTACCACTGATCCATGCATGTCCCCAGCACTGACTTCCAGTGGTACAACAGATGAGCAATTTAGCACGAGCCACACTAAGGCCATCTATACCCATGTTTAGTTTTTGGTCTTTTGAAACAAGGTCTCATGTGGCCCCGGGTAGCCTCAAACTCACTATAGAGACAACAGAGACCATGAACTCCTGACCTACCCTCCAAATGTTGAGATTACAGGTGTCCTTCACCATGCCATGTGGATGTCTTCAAAATACACAGAATCTCACTGCTGTTAAAAGCTAATAAATACTAACTGGATATCTATGCTCAGCACTTTACATACATCCTGCCCACATGGCGATGTGTACAGTCACCCTGGCTCACAGGAAGTGCTTAACACTTGTTACTTTATTTGAGACAGGGTCTCATTCTGTAGCCTTGGCTGCCCTATGTGGGACAAGCTGGCCTGTTTCTGCCCTGGCGTGCTGGAGTTAAAAGGCATATGCCACCATCCCCAGCCTGTCAGCTACATCCTTGTGTCAAAGAAAACAGGAGTGGCATGTAGGATCGCTCGGCAGGTGAAGGAGCTTGATGTTGAGTCTCATGATCTGAGCTCTCCCATGATGAAAAGGCAGAACTGATAGCCAGAAGTTGTCCTCAGACCTCACATTGTGCTCCACACATTAACAATACACGCAATTAGAAGAAAAAGACAATGGGCAGGAAGACTAGACAGAGCAACAGAACTAAAAACAGAAAGGGCACTGGAACACAAGGCAGCCGCTCACAAGGCCACACTTCCCAGGCTCCTCTGGCTTCAAAGGCTAGCAAGGACAGCACTGTCCTCTCCACTGCTAAGCACTTGCAGGTTAGTGGTAGGCACAATGGGCGACAGAAAGAATTGTGGTCGTGGACAGCCAGCTCTGACCCTACATGCCCAATGCCAAACCTTTGCTCACAGTCCACTGTGCATGTGGAGAAACTCAAGAGTCAACCCAGACTCTCCTGACCTCATGAAGAGGAGAAACCATATGGTAGGAGAGAACCAACTTTGTCACACAAACACCAAACACACAGACACAATAAATAAACATTACCAAAAAACCCCAACCCCCTATCCACCACTAAAGCCTCCAGATAGCCTTGAAAATGAGGTTGGCTAGCTACACTGATTAAGACCAGTGAGTTTCCCAAGAGGTGCTGACGCACACCTTCAATCCCAGCACTCAGGAGGCAGAGGCAGGTGGATCTCTGTGAGTTCAAAGCCAGCCTGGTCTACAAAGCTATAAGGAAACTCTGTCTCAAAAAAAATAAAAAATAAATAAAAAACAAAAAACAAACAAACAAAAAAACCCACTCAAAACCAAACCAAACAACCAGAGTATTTTGTTTTTGTTCTGTTTCTTAAAGACAAAGTTATGTCTTGTTATGAAGCCCCAGCCAGTTATGAACTCATGATAACCTTACTGTTTGGCTAAAATAATGTCCTTCAAAGTGTAACATGGCAACAATGAGGAAAAAAAATCAGACTATATTACTTAGGAATAAACTAGGTTTAAATCATATCAGTTAAGAATCCTATAAAAATCAGTCACAGAAATGGCTCAATGGTTACGCGCACTTGCTGTTCTTGCAAGACCAGGGTTCAGTTTCCAGCACCTCACGGTAGCTCACAACTGTCTACAACAATGCGTGTGCTGAACATACATGCACTCAAGTGTAACACCTATACAAATATAAAAGGAATTCTACAAAAAGCTTAAGGATAAATCAATTTAACGCTAATTTGCTGTCAAGAAATCCATTCTCCAAACAGTTTGGAAAAAATCATCCTGGAAATCAGACGGGCTCAATTTTAGTCCTGATCATGCATCTAACACACAAGACCACAGAGCCAGCCTGGAGCTGGTGGGCTTGACTACTGGGGGGTCACCACTCTACCAACAGAAGCTCTGCGACAGCCAAGAAAGGGCCTCCCTCCCTCACTGGGACCATGGGCTTGGTTTACAGAAGGAGCTGGTGGTCCTGGCTAGCCAGCGACCTCCTGCCGCAGAAACCTGAGAAGGGAAATTCTTAGGGAATTTTTGGCATTTCCTTATTACTTCAGTTGTTTAATTCTCTTATTCATCTAATTTTTACTTCACTCTTTTTGAAATGTGGTCTCACGTAGCTGAGGATGACCTTGAGCACCAAACTTCCTGCTTCTACTCCCCAAGTGCCACCACGCCCAGTTTGTACAGTGACTGCAGCACGTGGTAGAGAACGTGGTTTCATGCCAGTTAGACAAACACTCTACTGACTTAAGTTCCAGTCCAACTCAGTGCTTCTACACTGTAAACAGAAAGCCCAGCCAGGTTCTGCAGCGTTGCTCCCACCTGTGACTTCTAGGTAGACGACTGAACATGGTGGAACATTGAACATTCTATGGACGCCCTCTGAAGGTCCTCCAAGGGCTGGAGTGCCCTCCTATGGCACACTCTACTAAAGTCAGAACTGACAGCACATAGAGCTAAGCTGACACGCTTCTGACACATATGCGCACATACAACTCAAGATTCCTTCTGTTGTTCTCCAGCTCAGGTATGAAAAACCAAAAACCTAGTAAACACTAACGGCATCACCTCTAAAGCCTCCATTCTAGTAGAACCCTGAGCCACAAAGTCAGCACGCAGAAATGACGGCTCTCAACACTGAACGTGTTGTTTGACAAGGACTTCATCTATGGCTATAAACGAAGGGAGTGCCTGCACTCACTGGCAGAAGAAAGAATTCCTTTAAAAGAGGTATTTCTTTGGCTCATATCCCAGTTCAGTAGCAATGAAAGGCCCTAAAATCCCAGGGGTTCAAATGTCCTTCTGAGCACCGAAGGCTCCCTAGGCTCAGCAGTTCTGGCGTGCAGGTAAACGGTGGCTCAACTACTAACAACTCCGTGTAGTTAGGAGTGTGAGGGTTTTAAACAAAACAAAACCGGGTCCTGGAAAAACTGGGTTCTTTTGCCACTTTGCTTCCTGAAGAACCAGGGTATAGTATACACTGGGGCTCTTGCCTTTAATCCTAGCACCTGGGAGGCAGAGGCAGGTGGATCTCTTCGAGTTCAAGGCCAGCCTGCCTCAAAAAACATAAAATGTAACAAGCCAGGGTAAAGTTACAGTTTCATTTAACTACTAAGTGTTAAAGAAACAATTTGTTTAAAGTCTGAGGACAGTTCAGCTATAAATCCAGGCCCCAGAAAGTCTGCAGGAAACAATGGTTAGTACAGCTGAGAAATGCATACTCCGGGTAGCCAAGAGCACACTATCAGAACAAAGAGCTTTGTAGTATGTGGGCTGGTAAACTGAGGCAGCAGCACAGTTCAAGAGCTGGGTTCTGGAGTTCTAATGTCCAGGGATGAATTACACCCGACAGTTCCTTCGATTATAAATAATTATAAATCAAGTTTCAGGACAGCTAGGGTTACACAGAGAAACCCTGTCTAGAAAAAAAAAATAAAACAATGGATTATTATGAGGGCAGCTATGACAATTTAATGAGACACCACATTTAGAGGGTTTTTGTTTTATTTTGTTTTTCGAGACAGGGTTTCTCTGCGTAGCTTTGGTGCCTATCCTGGAACTCTTTGTGTAGATCAGGCTGGCCTCGAACTCACAAAGATCCACCTGCCTCTGTGCCACCACCGCCCTGAGCATTTAGAGTTCTTTCAGCAGGTGCCGTGCTCAAAACACGCACTTTAATAGACGCTGGTTATTAGCAAGCAAAGTAGCTTTGCTGAGGACAGTCCAGTTCGGTTACACTTGATCACTACCAAAAAATTTGAAGGATAGGATTGTCTGCTGGGGATGGACCCAACTAATCATTAACGCACCCTGACCTTGGAAGCTTTTCCGGAAACCCTTTCCGATGGAACTCAACTGCCGACTAGCAACGCGAATGGGAACCTACAAGAAATGTACAGGTGGCAGACAGTGCGGGCCTCTCGGGTTACTTTTTATTCTCGAGACAGCGTGAACACACTTGACCTGGATGCTGAAGCCCCAGTCAGGACGCCGTTGCGTCTCAGGCCTAGCACTTCTTGCTCATCCTCCGCCCCTTGAGCCGAGGCTGGGGAGGTCCTGTTGTCTAATTTCTGGGCGGTGGCTCAAGGGGTCGATGGAGGGCACGGAACGCTAGCGTCTGAGGCTAGATCCAACTTCGGTGGCACCAGAGATATAGGCGCCCGGCTGAGTTCCAGGGAGGCTCCCAGGTGGCCTTGACCTTGGTGTCCCGGGACTCAGTTTGCCCGCCTGCTGGCTCAGGCCGCTGACCCTAACCCTCCGTCTAGGGCAGGTGCGTGAAGAGGGGGCATGGGCCTGGGTCACGGAGGCCCAGGAACCCCAAGGCAACGGCTGTCCCGGGACCCTCGTCCTCCCTCCGGCAAGTGCGTGGGCTCAGGCTCAGCCGGGACACGGTGCACGCCACGCACGGGTAGAGGAGAGCTGGGCAGACGCTGGACCCCCCCAAGGCCCCAAGGGCCCCGCCCCGGGGAGCAGCCCGACGGCTGACGGGCGCACACGGCGGCGGGGTCACGT